ACGAAGAGGTTGACAAAAAGATAATCATGCAGAATCACAAGTACCAAACGTAAGCTAATAAACTAAGAAGAATGTGACTTTTTATGAAGGAGATATAGGGTCTGTTCAAAGCAGCTGCTGATTATTGATAATCTGCTTATAAGTAGTTGATTCAGATAAGTTGTTGATCAGCAGTTGATTTGGATAATGTGGTTGTCTGTTGGGTTTGTATGTTTGTAAACAGCTGATTTGCAATTATTTCTACATAAATGACCATTCTACCCCTATGCAGTGATGTTATTTAAGATAGAACTGTTATAACTATAATAGATCTGCTAATATTTGTTATTAATTTTTTAGTGCAATCAATATTTGTTATAATAGTACAAATTTAAACTTAATATTAATAATACATAAAGTATTTAAATATATAAATTTTAAACTATTTTATAATTTAATAGTTTAGTAAAGTTATAAATACAGATATAGTATAACTATTATATTCTATTTATACATTTAATATTAAATAGTTATTTAATATTAGTATTATTAATAATGTAATAATAATATTTATTAAATTTTAATGTATAGTAAATATGTGTTTAATTAGTTAAATATTAAATTATTAAAATTACATATCTATTATTATAAATGAAGTGTATTTTATACTATAAATATATCTTAAATTTAATTTATTTTAAGATATAATTTAACTATAATTATAATATTATTTAGTTAACATTATTATAATAAATTTCAGTTAAATAATAAATAATTATTTAACTTAAAATATAGTAAATTAATATTTATAAAACTATTTACAAATTAATATACAACTATTTAATTTAATATATATAGTAATATAAGCAATTATGTATAAAGTAAATTAATTTAATTTAATTATTATAACTTTAACTTTATGTTTAACATTTATATATTTTAAATTAACTATAATATATTTATAATTTTAAAATTAATTGTTATTATATATATCAATTAACACAATATTAAATTAATTTAGTTATATATTAATGTATTAAAACTATATTAATTAAGTACTTAATATTATATATATTTTAACTATGTTTATAAGATTATTTAAAATTTACTAATTTAAAATAAATGTTTTTTAAAAACAGCACGAATAACACAATAATAACACCTGAATACTACCGTAAATAACACTGCGAATCAACAGCTAAAAAAAGACGGCAATAATACCGCAAACACCGCAATAATACCTGCAAACTACCATGAATAACACCACGTAACACCGAGAATCAATGGATACACGACCGCGCAAAAAATACAGCAAATAACACTGCAATAACAACTGAAAACTGTCGTGAATAACATCGCGTAACACAAGAAATCAATAGGCGCACAACCGCGCGAATAATACCGCAAATAACACCTTGAATACTGCCGCAAATAACACCGGACGCACGACCGCAGGGAGGGCAGAGTCGTAAACAATTTTCTCCGAACACGGGACGCGGGATCAAAAGCGCAAGCGGCATTTAATACAATAGGAAACAAGCTTATCCGGCAACGCAGCGAAGACGCAGAAAACAAACACCTATTTCAGCATTTTGAAAACGCTCTGCAGCTGTTGCGCGGGGCCAAACGGGCCCATAGTGTGGATCAAGTTGAAGAAAGAGTGATTTCCCATGAGATCTTTTGAAAACTCAAAGCCAAAGCATATGGATATTTCAGAATTCTCAAGAAGTTGAATGACTAAGACAAGCTGAAATCTCACCACCAAGGAAGTGTCCACTTTGGCCACATAGCCTCGTGGTTTTGTCCTGTTGGTTTAACTTCCTAGGAGGCCAACCATCATAGAAGTGCTCCATGACAAGCACGCTTAACTTTGGATTTTTCTAATGAAATTTCATCATTACATCAAAAGATGCCTCAATATTTAAAAGCTCAGCTTCAATCAATCTAAGGATCTCCCCCACTTAAGTACTTGACGTCCTCGGTAGTATTGTATACCCAAAATCATCCACCAAGAAGATGAGATTCTAGAGGTGGCCCTACATATTGAAGAGATGGCTTCCATTATGAAGCACTTTGTCCTAACCAAGATTCAAGAGATGAGTCCCATAACATAGCACTTTATTCTATATGGCACTTCCCATCTTATAGCTGGTGTAATGCTCAAATACCATTTATCACAGCTCAACTCTCATCTATCAAAGTATTGTCCGTTTTCGCCAAATAGCCTCATGGTTTTGTCCCGTTTGTATAACTTCCCATGAGGTCCCAACCTAGGAGTGCTTTAGGACGAGCACACTTAACTATAAAGTTTTTAATAAAATTTCACCATTACACCAAAATGCGCCTTAATGATTAAGAGTTCGGCTTCAATCCACTTGAGAGAATTCCAAATTTCAAAGCTTACAAGCTTGACTTATCAAGACATTACAATATTTCAGTTACCTTGGCTGACTTGACTCCATACTATGGGGAAACAAAAGCTTCGACAGATGAGTAAGAAGCTGCACTCACCCCAGAAGG